ATTGGTTGCGAGAGCAGATGAGAGAGGGTTTGTTGAAATTGAGACACAGAAGTGGTGTTGAAAATCCAGCAGATCTTTTCACTAAATGCTTGAGTGCTAAAGCTTTCTATAAACACCGATATGCTCTTGGGATTGTTGTTCCAGATGGTTTGACAGCTGAGTTAGCAGAACTTCGTGAGCTGTGTGTGTTGCAGCAGGTGTTGACTCAGGGTTCTTCGATTGCGATTGTGGAACTGTGTTGCTCGGAACACTCGAACTTGAGAAAGGTTTGTGAAGTTTCAAAGGTCCCATACATTGGCGTAGTGGCTAAGGTGCAGAGTTCTGGAACGTTGAGTCGTGTAGTTGTTTGCATCCGACAGTGGAAGAACTCTTCATGTCCGCCTTGGGTGCATATTCATGCATCGACTCCTTGTGGAAGTGGAAGCCCGCTTCGCAATTTCAATCCGGACTCAGTCACTGAAAAGGACCAGGAATGGGATGAGATCATCAATGCGATTGGTGGTTACTTCAAACATGCAGACTCATGTTCGTTTGAGCTTCCAGAACGAAATACCATTTGGTCCCGACCTGAGACAGTGAATCTTTTGGAGAGTTTTGACATGAGGCATGAGGCTTTGGTGAGGTTGTGCAAGACTGGATGTCAGAACAAGGATGGTATTCCGATTGGAAAGACATTGAAGTTTGTTTCCAATTCAGCTTGGTTTGCACTAAATCTTCACTCTAAACTTTCGACATGTACATGCCAGATTCATGCCGAACTTAATCAAATCAACTATACTGAAACAGCGTTTTACAACCGAAAGTTGGCAAGATGCATTTTGATTGCAGTCAAACACGCAGCGAAGAAGTGAATTTTCGTTTGAAAGGGGGACCCTGTGAGAGAAAGACAGAAGTTGACGTCACGTTTCATTTTCCTGTTTTGCATGTTGCTTTTAAACAGACGTTGCCAAAGACAAACAGGAGTTTTCACTGTGTTGCATTTTGTGCAGAGTTCTGTTGCGTGATGCTGTAAGATGCAGTGTGCGCAGAGCAGAACAACATGAAAGGTCACTGTGCCTATCACGAAAGTGATGGCGGTTCGACACTTCGTTTCACGTTCTAGGTTGATTGCTCCTAAGAGTTTGGCCACGGTCTAGTACTTTTTTACCTCCGGACGCGGCTTGATTTTGCAGCCATGGCTTCATCCAATTGGAGCGTTGAGGATGAGAAAATGTTTCAACAGTTGGCACAGCGTCGTACTTCTCAGATGCCTTAATTTGCCGACAGCTGAATCAAGTGGTGCAATGACCGATGCATCAAGGCGCAGAATTGAAGATGCAGAGTTTGAGGTCGACACAGAGTCAGATTGGGTGGTTGGAAGTAGTTTCATGGAGCCTGTGGAAGGCACCGAGGATTTGGCCACAAAGGCCTTGCTTCCAGCTGGTGTTACCAATATGGCTATGTGGGGAAAGACCAAGTTTGCATTTGGAAAGTATGAGAAGGAGAAGATGAGTTACAAGACTGTCTTCGAGAAAGATCCCAGCTATGTTTCATGGTGTCGAAAGCATTTGACCAAAGACTTAGCGAAGGGTCCTGCCTGGGATTGGTCCAGGTACATTAAGGCCCGAGATTTGGTGGACTGCAAAGCGGCTAATGTGCCATTCTATGCAGGAACTACCTTGCGTCGAGAGTTTTGTGATTGATGACACTGTGATGGTGGTTGGATCTATACAGGATCTCATTCTATGTGGACAACTGTAGTTTGCAAGATTGTCGAACTGGATGAGTGGTCACTATGTAGCCCTTCGGCTAAGGGCATCCTTATGTATTTACCTGTCGAGCTTGAGCTATATGTGCTAAAGTCTGGATGGGTTACAGCTATACATGGAATGGAGTTCATCTCAAAAGGGGGTGTGAAAATTTCCGACATCTGTGGTGAGATGAATCCATTGGATATTTTCTGCATTGGAAGAAGTGAATTTGGTTTTCACCTTGATGGTGAGATCAACCGTGATGGTTGATATCGTATTTGCACGTCTCATATTTTGCACGTTTTATAGGAGATGACGAAACCCTACAACGATATACTTTTCGTCTTCTTTGAGTACTTTGATTGCACGGAGAACACAGTGAGGATTTGAATTTGTATAGTGACATGGAAAATCAAACCATTTTCCATATGTTTTGCTTTAGTTTTTGCCGGCGAAGTGCACGAAGGAATCGTGAGAAGATCGTAGAATTCATTTTATGACTTCGGAAGAAGGAACTTTGTTTGACATTGATCGGAGAAGTTTAGTTTGTTTTGTCTCTCAATGATGATAGCGAGAGCAACGTTCTGAAAGGCATTCAGAACTGGAGTTGCTGACAGATCTGAGGGAGACATCATGAACCATGTTTAGGTGCTTGAAATGTTTCAACGTTTTTCAAACACTCAAACTTATTTAAACAAACAATCCATGTCTTGATGTAAAGACTTTTTGTGATGACACGTGTTTTTGATCGCTTTTGTGAAGTTGGCAGAAAGATGCTAACTGGCGACTCCGCATCTGTTTTGTGTCAAGGAGTGACACACCAACAAGAACCATAGCGACATGAGCAGACATTTCTCTTGTGTGTTGTGGTAAAAGTGGCTGAGCTCTGGGAGTGGTTGACTTGGTTGCGTGGACGGTCTTAGTTTGTTAAGGACGACGTCCTGGACGCTGACCCAAGTAGGTTTCGAAGGTGAGAGGTACCTTCCGCACTCCCAATTGCATGGCTTGCTGCTTTGGGGGAATTCGTTTTTGTACATGTTTGTTTTTCTGCAAGTACCGTGCCATACTGTAGAGCATTCCGGCCATATCCGACGGAAAAAAATACTCCCTATGTCTATGTCGCTCTGCTGTGCATTTTGCACTTGTGCATGGAAATACAGGCAACTCCCAATAATGCCTGTCCAACACCCGATGTTTCCGGAGGAAAATTTTCAGAGAAAAGATGCGTGTTCGGAAGTGTGCAGCCGCCGTGGAATCACATGTGGTGATGGATGGGGTTGAAAATACAATCCATCAAGGAGGAGTGCAAGAGATTTCCAGTCCTACTCACTTGCATATCCATGGCCACTGTTCAGTTTGCATTAGGATTCGCACGAAGAGCGTGTGAAATTTTGGGTCATGAAATCATGATTCGACATTTAGGGCGCTGTGGTTCAAGAAAAGTTTGTGCATTTCCGGCTAAATCTTTGAACTCCCGCTTTGTCTGCTAGCTTGTCTTCCGCTGTATCTCCAGCTTTGCCTCTCACTTTGTCTCCCGCTCCGTCTTTCATTTTGTCTCCGACTTTGTCCCGCACTTTGTCTCCCAGTTGGTCCCCGGGCCTGCATACTACTCATCCAATACGTGGCCCACTTTGTCTCTCACTCTGTTTCCCGCTTTGTCTCAACTGTTTCAAACTTTTTCTTTGACTATGTCTCTCAGTTTGTTTCCCACTGTGTTTCTGGTTGTCTCCAGTTTGTCTCCCAGTTTGTCTCCCGGCCTGCCTCCGGCTTTTGTGTCGTCTACGTCCCCCACTTTGTCCCTCGCTTTGTTCCTCACTTTGTCTCTCAACTTGCGTCCTGCTTTGTTTTCCACTTTGCCTCTCTGCGTGTCTCCTGCTTTGTTTCCCACTTCTTTGTGCCCAGCTTTGGCTCCCACTGTGTCCCCCAGTTTGTCTTTCACTTGGTCTCCGCTTTGTTTGCTTCCTTGTTTCCCACTTGTCTGCCACTGGTTCCCCTCTCTATTGGCCTCCCTGTCTTAATTGTCCCCCCTTGCCTCCCAGCCTGCTTCCCACTTAGGTCCCATTTTGTCTCCTAGCTTTTCTCCCGGTGTATCTCACGCTTTGGCTCTCACTTCGTCTCCTGCTCCGTCTTTCATTTTGTCTCCGACTTTGTCTTCGACTTTGTCTCCGGGTCTTGCGTGCTATTATGTCACACTTTGTTCTCTCACTCTGTTTCCCGCTTTGTCTCAACTGATTCAAACTTCGTCTCTGACTATGTCTCCCAGCTTGTTTCCCGCTGTGTTTCCGAATTGCCTCCCACTTTGTTTCGCGCTTTGTCTCCATTTTGGTTGCCAACTTGTCTCCGGGTTTTTTTTGCCTTCTACTATGCCACTGTGTATCCCGTTTTGTCCTCTTGTTGGTCTTTCACTTGTTTTCAAATTTTGTCTCCTGCTTTGGATGCCCTTACTTTCTCTCCCACATGTCTCCGGCTTTGTCCCCCGCTTTGTCTCCCAGCTTGTGCGCCACTTTATCCCCCACCTCGTCTCCCATCATGTCACCGACTTTGTCTCTCACTTTGTTTCACGCTTTGCTTCTTCTTTTTTTCCATCTTGTTCTGCAGCCTTGTCCCTCACTTTGTCTCAATCTTTTTCGCCCACTGCGTCGCCCACTTTGTCTGTCATACTGCCTCCACGCCAAGGGCTAAAATGTGGCCCAAACATCGACGGTACTCGGGAACCTGTTCACCTTCAATTTGGAACCCTCACTGCTGTTGGGTTGCAAAACCAAACTGGGATAGTGTGTAGTTTCCCGACGCAAAATGTTTGCACTGAAATTGTTTGCCTTAAGGCTCTAAGGATAATTTTGTCGTCATGCCATTGCAATGGAAACAACACAGTGTTACAGGGAAATTTGTTTCAATCAGTAGACGCGCGTATGAAGCCAATCGATTTGAAGGCGTCATTTTTGTCAATCCAAACCGGGAAACGCAACATAATTTTTTTTGCACAAAATATTGGTGTTGTTTGAATGCTGGACCACGTATTTGCACGATCGCAGCGTCAAATTCATGGCCCAAACAAGTTTCCGATTTGGTGGTGTGTGCTCATGTTTGCGCAGTTGAAGCAAATGCCACGCGTTCAAATTCAAAGCGGAGTGGACAGTCAGTTGTATCAATATCCAACGAAGACGTATTTCTGCACTTGATGACGTTTGTACAACCAGTGTTTTTGAATTGTTGTTCCATTTTTTCCGAAAAACAATCTATTCATTCAATTTCCGACGAACACATTTTGTTTGTGAAGGGTAACATGTACAACCATGGCAAAATCATGTCAAAAACTCAGGAATCCAGGTCTGCAACCCAAACGTAATATTGTGTGGCAAAATATCGCAGTGGAAAATGCTGGTTTCATGACGCTCAATTTTCATCAATTTTCATTTCTTAAGGCGACCAAAGTGAGGTGATTTGTTTTGTGCCTATGTGTGTGTGATGCTAAATTTGTGACTGCATCATCCCGCTTTTCGCGCCCTGAGGTTTTCAAGTCGCTGCAGACCTTTTATCCAAATGTGATCAGCAAAGGCCACATGTTTGCGAGTGGAACCAAATGTGTTTTTAAACAGAACGTTATGTTTTGCAAAAAAACAAATTGGAACCTTGACCAACAAACCAGTGATGGAAATAGTGACACACTTGGATGAAATTTTGAATCCATGAGTTGCCATGAAAAAAAAAAAATATAATATATGTATATATGTACATATTTGTTTTGTTTTGTTTTATTTTGTTTTGTTTCCTTTGTTCAGACACCGGCAGGTTGGAGTGTGCCGGCGTGTGGTGGCTCAGTGGAGTTGGCAGACCATCGACGATGTCGACGATGTCGCGGTTTTCTGGTGCCTCAGGTGGCGAACTGGCCATGGAGTGGCGATCAAGCGCAATGCCACTGGTGTGTTGCTCAGAATCTGACAGAATCGGTAGCTGGAATTTGTGTTGCCGCATTCTTGGAATCAGTTTTGCTTGAAATTGAAAGGACACTTATGGGCTGATCATGAATGATCTGCATTTTTTTGTGAAAATGATTTTCCATTCGACTGATGTTAAACCTTACACGAGTACCATATGAAACCATGTAAACGACGTCTACAGTTCCATGTCTACCGCTGTAGGGGCAATGCGTTTGTGGCCTGGGAGTCGACATGTTGTGGCGAAGACGGGATTATGGTGGGTTTTGGACATACAGATTGTTGGGGGATTAATGTGATCGAAAGTGATCCAACCCTTAAGGGATTCAGCATTGAGAACTAACAAAAATGATGTTTACGAACAATTTACTTGCAAGTTGGTCCTGAAAATGCCGCCGGCTCAGTACGAATTGTTTTTTTGTTCTAAGTTCTTGAACGTGTCATTTCTATTCATTTCTGATGTGCGACCAATTGGTGGGGCTGGATTTTGTCCAACCTGGGTTTTTCTTTTCTATTTTGGGTTGAAATGATGCCATTGATGGTTTCTTGCTTGCGACAAAACTTAATGACCTTCGGGAGTTGACAGGAGATTTCCAAGAAGAATGCTGACTGCTTCGAGCTGCCAGAATGTGAAGCATCACCCAGAGAGGCTCGTGGGACTTGAGAATCTGAGTCATACTGAGCTGTTGGAGACATCGTTGTGAGGCTGGTCTGCTGTTAGTGGTGGCTGTCCCTGTGGTGCTGGCAGGCCTGGGACTTGGGGAACAGTTCTTAGTGCATCAGCTGCGCATGCTGCGCTGCGCCTGCGCCAAATGTCAGGCATTCTGCTTCTGGTGCGGTGTTTGTGCCAGCGCCAAGTTGGTGTCCCAGTGTCCCAGTGTCCCAGCTTCAAATTTTGAAATTTCAAAGATCTTCAAAGTTATAAGACTGGTAGCTGCTGGTAGCTGCTGGTAGCTGCCAAGGTCGACAGCAGAGAGCTGCAAGAGTCGCATGAAACGGAGATGGCTGCGACGCAGGCCTGAAACTGCGTAGAAGCCGTTTGGGACTCGTTTGTGTCGCAGTTTGGGAGTGGGAAGTTGATGGAAGTTGCAAGGCATATGCTCTCTCCCAAATTTCATCAACTTCCAATACACGCTGTGGTGACTATGGTGGCTGTGGTGGCTATGATGGCTGTGATGGCTATGGTTTGGTTGAGCTGCACGGTTGCGCAGGAGAAGGGCGAAGGTCTGTCAGGTGCGACCTTGGCGATCCGAGTGTAGTGGTTCGAACGCTTCGAATGTTGGGTGATCTGTGGGTGCTTTCGTTTTTACTACTACTATAATAACAGTGGGTAAATATATGGCTTATATATATATATATATCAATATGTTATGGCTTCTGTTTACTATAATATGTTATTCAGTTATTCTCAACAGCGAATCTGTTGGGTTTCAATCTCTGGGGCCGGGGACTGGTGACACGAAAAGCACGCCCCGAAAAACCGGAAGAGTCCTGGAACCTTGCTGGAACCTTTCGCTGTTGTGTTGCAAAGCTGGGCGAATATCTGTTTAATATTGTTTAATATGTTTTCTTTAGTTTAGTTCTGTTCGGATATCACTATGATGTTGGATCCGTGTTTTTGAGTTGGAACATGTGGAAGAAAACACCAAATCTGATGGCCATCCAGCTCTGGCCCTCGATGCTAGGTGCTCCTCCTGCGCATTGGGGTGGGGTTGTGCTCCCAGCACCGCTGACCGAGTTGATCTATTTGTCACGGGAATTTCCTCTCTGTTGATACTGGTCAAGTTGACAAGATCACAATCAACACACACACACATATATATATATATAATGTGATGGACAACTCTGAATGTTCGAACCGTTGGCTCTCAAGACACATGCATCCTTTTGCAGTTGAGACCACGAGGTTTCTCCTTGCAGGCTCTTCCTCCGGGTGGTTCGATCTTGCCTGTCCTTCCCATTGCACCTTCTCTTGGACCTTTGCCCTTGCGATTTTCGTTGCTGGGTTTGGTCTTGGTGCACTGCTGGTCTTGGCTTGGACTTTCCACTTTTGGACTCCGTCCTGTTCTGTGCCTGCTTCTCGCCCTGTGCCTGTGCCCTCCCCTTCTGGTCGACTCGTGGCCTACTTGCATGAGCGAGCCCGCTTCTCACCTGACAGGGGCCATTAAAGCTGCGATTGTTGCCTTGAGGCAGATAGCTGACTCTCTTGAGTCAGCACCTGAGCCTTCCGAGTCCGAACAGCCACGGTCCCCGTCCAACCTCAAAAATCCAGATCCAGTCCACGGCTTACGTGGTTTTGCGTGGCCCTGGTGTGCCACGTCCTGTGGCATTGTTCTCTGCAGCGGAGTACTACTGTGTGCTCTTCAGGTTCACCAAGTGCAGCTTGTCGCACTCGTGGCCTAGCAAAGCTGAAGCAAGGATCTGGCCGCTGGCATTGCTGTTCCGGCCGAGACCTGAAGATGGAGGATTTGGTCCTCAAGACTCTGGATGCAGGTCCGATGTACCTGTATGTACTGGAGTTGCCTGTGGAGGAGGAAGGTGTGGCCGGTTTCAAGAAGGCCGCTACGGTGCCAGTTTTGCGGAGGAAGCATGGGATTTTGGTTGCAGTTCCCCTTGGCAGTCTGCTCTAGATCGAGGTCTTTTCGCGTCGGAGGGGGAGATGATTGGGCCTTCCCATTACGTGACTGTGCCAACCATGGTGGAGGAGGCAGACGGGACAGAAACCGACACAGGCCTGGAGACCAATCTTGTGGATTTCAGCTTGGATGTGCTCCCCTTCATGCGCGAGCTATCTGCATGGACAGTTTGCCACAGTCTCAGGCCCTGCTTGCGGCCGGCTTCGAGTGGTTGCAGATGGCTCAGGAGGCTAGGGTTCAGTTTTACTCGGCCCACGAGACAGCAGAGGTGGAGCCTATTATGCCGAAGTCAGTGAGCACCCCAAAGAAGTCTGCCCCAACCCAAGAAGAGCTTCCAATGCTGCCCTAGCGGAACAGTTAGCTGCCTTTGCAAAGATGATCCCTGCTTTGTCTTCCCAACTGGATTCCTGAAGCAGGAACAACAGAGAATGGGTGCTTTGATGATGAGTCCGGAGACTCCCCAGAGAGGTGCTGCGATACGCCATGTAAGCCTCCTTTGCCCTCTGTTGCGGAGAGAGCTCAGTTTTTCCAAGGTTTGGGGCCGCCACCCAGTAGGGCCAAGTCTGCAGCTGCCCCTCATGTGCCTATGACTCCAAATGCTTGCGGGATCCCTGGGGAAGAGCCTCGCTTGATGCGTTCAGAGGAGGGCTACATGGAGGCGCTCCGAGCAAACCAGCCGCCCCAGATTGGAGACATTTTGATGCAGCAGTCAGCAGCTTTGACTACAGCACTGGTGGCTCATTTGGCGAACCAAGACGGAATAGGAGATTTGGGGGGATCTTCCAGCTCAAGCTCTGCGATTTCCTTGAAGCTTGATTTGGGCAGCCTTAGGGCAGGCGGAGCCTCTTGGCTCCTTCTTACTTCGGAAGATTCAGAGCTCACGCGCAGACGTGGCAGGTGGATCGCCCACAAGGTGATGGAAGTCTACGTGCAGGAGATTTCCTCACCCCAATTTTTGCCTCGTCTTCCTGAAAGGATCGGAATTCAGATACTGTCAGGTGCTGCGCTTTTCCCTTGGAGCCTGGCGAAAGCTATGATGTACTTCCAGGCTTCCATACCAGCCTCAGTCTGGTATGTGCTCTTCAAAAATGAAGCCGTCTATGACCCACCAACGGCAGAACAAGATTGGGAACCGAAACGATGCAGAAAGGAATGGGTGGAGGTGAGCAGCATGGCATGTCAGTCATGCCCTGTACACCGTGCAGCCAGCATGGAGCCGTGAAGCCAGCATGGAGCCGTGAAGAGTTGATGGACAACTCTGAATGTTCGAACCGTTGGCGCTCAAGACACACCCTCCTCCCCCAGCCCAATGGTGGCCCATTTTTGAAGGGTGGAGTTGAGCAGCATGGCAGGTCATTCATGCCTATCTCTCTCTCTCTCTCTCCCCTCCCTCTCTCTCTCTCTTTCATCTGTCTAGCTGTCTACCTGTCTATCTGTCTATCTGTCTATCTATCTATCTATCTGTCTGTCTGTCTATCTGTCTAACTGTCTATCTGTCTATCTATCTATCTGTCTGTCTGTCTGTCTGTTTGTCTGCTATCTGTCTACCTGTCTATCTATCTATCTATCTATCTGTCTATCTGTCTGCCTGTCTATCTCTGGTGCAGTGTCATTCAGTGTAGTGTAGTGCAGTGGAGTCAAGTGTAGTGTAGTGTAATTAGTGTAGTGTAGTGTAGCGTAGTGTAAATGTAGTATTGTTGTTGTTGTTGTTGTAGTTGTAGTTGTAGTTGTTGTTGTAGTTGTAGTTGTAGTTGTAGTTGTAGTAGTAGTAGTAGTCGTCGTCGTCGTCGTCGTCGTGGTCGTGGTAGTGGTAGTGGTAGTGGTGGTAGTAGTAGTAGTAGTAGTTGTAGTTGTTGTAGTTGTTGTAGTTGTTGTAGTTGTAGTTGTTGTAGTTGTAGTTGTAGTTGTAGTTGTAGTTGTAGTTGTTGTTGTTGTTGTTGTTGTTGTTGTTGTTGTTGTTGTACTTGTATTTGTAGTTTGTAGTGTAGTGTAGTGTAGTGGAATGTAGTGTTGTGTAGTGGAATGTAGTGTAGTGTAGTGTAATGTAGTGTAGTGTAGTGGAGTGTAGTGAAAATCTGAACGATATGTCTTCCTTTTCACTTGCACCTGCCACGCGGAACGGCATCTCAACCTCCAAAAGTGGTCCGAACCCCTTGTGTTTTTAACATTTTGACTTCGAATTGTGCTTCGCGCCACTACGACGTGCACTTTTTCGACATCTCGACTTCCAAAAGCGGTCCGACACTGAGGTGTTTTGTACATGTTGACTTCGAAATGTGCTTCGCGCCACGGCGGTGTGCACTTTTTCGACATCCCAACTTCCAAAAGTAGTCCGACGCTGAGGTGTTTTGTACATTTTGACTTCGAAATGTTCTTCGCGCCACAACAGTGTGCACTTTTTCGACATCGCAACTTCCAAAAGTGGTGCGAGCATGGTGTTTTGTACATTTTGACTTCGAAATGTGCTTCGCGCCACAACTGCGTGCAATTTTTCATCTCTCATCTGGCCAGATGGCTCAGCACCCGCCGCTTGAGCGAGCCTACTTTTCGACCCTCCGGAGCCACAAATCATTGAAAAAACACAGTGTTTCGCGACTTTCCTACCTTTTCGTGCACCTGGATCTTCTTTCTTCTGACACTTTCTCTTCTCTGATCTTCTCTCTTCTACTCTCCTCTTCTCTCTGCCTCTCCCCTACTCTGCTTTTCATCTGTCCATGTTGTCGGAAGTTTGACTTCTAAACTTCCTTCGATAAATATTGAATGTATATATATAAATATATATATATATATTGAATGTATATATATATATTGAATATATATATATAATGTATATATAGATATATTTATATACTGTAAATGTTTTTATATAATGTATATATTTAATGTATATCTTTACAATGTATATATAAAATGTAGATATATATATTTTTAAATGATGTAAAAAAAATATATATATATATATACAATATATTTTTATAGTATATATGTAATGTATATATGTAATCATGTATTCACAAATAGTGTAAAAATAGTATATATGTTTAATTGTATGTATATATAATGAATATACAAATAATGTATATATATATATAGTGTCTATTTAAATCTATAGTATATATGTATATATTTAATGTAAATATAAATATATTTAAATGTATACATATAATGTATAAATATATATATAATGTATGAAAATATTTATATATTTATATATATATATTTAAAATGTATACATATAATGTATACATATATAATGTATGAAAATATTTATATATTATATATATATATATTTACAATATTAATATATATATATATTATGTAAATTATCTATGTATATATTTTGAATGTATATATTTATAATGTATATGTTTATATCATGCATATATTTATTTAATGTATTTAAATATATATATATAGTGCATATTTTTTTTAAATGTATATATATATACATATAATGTGTATATTTATGTCATGTAAATATTTCATGTATGCATATATACAATGTAAAAATATAATGTATATATATATATAATGTAAATGTTTTGTGTATATACATAATGTATTTATAAAATGTATATATACATAATGTAAATAAATGTAATGTGTATATATATATATTTATTTAATGTACATTTATATATATATAGTGTATATATATACTGTAAATATTGCAAAATAATTTCAATATATATTGTATATATGTAATGTATATAAATAAATAATGTATTTAATGTATATATATATATACAATGTATAGGTATACAATGTATAGATATAATGCCTATATATAATGTATATATATAAAGTCTATATAAATTGTATTTATCAAATGTATATATATATGATGCAAATATACATATATATATATAATGTATATATATAATGTATATGTCTAATGTATTGTTAAATATAATGTAAATATATATTTATATATATACAATGTATACATATAAATAAAGTATATATTGGTATACAAAGTATATATATAATGTAAATATTTAGTGTTTATACATATATAAAATGTATATAAATATATTTTTGTACATGTATATAAAAATAGATGTATATTGATTGTTTGCAATATATATATATAATAAATGTAATGTATATATGTATATTTATTCATATTGTATACGTATATTTATTTGTATTATATATATATAAACACTTAATGTGTATAAATAAACATATATGTAAAACTATATGTGTATAGATATATATTTTGTATATATATATATATATTGTGTATATATATAAATATATATATATACACATAACGTGTATAAATAAACATGTTTTTGTATAATTAGATGTGTGTATATACACATTATATACGTACGTTATATTCCACATGAATCAACCATGATTATGCCATGACTGCCATGATCAAGTTTAACTGAGCCGCCAATCCCACCTCCGAGGGCTTAGCCTTGGGCCCACGGGCATCTGGAGTCGAGAAAAAGGCCCCGGGGCTTATGGAGATCATATGAGTCATATGCTACAAGCCGGTGCAGCTCACTATATTTTTCCCATCAGTTCATGGTTCAAAGTTGATCCATTGATGCATGCGATGCAATAACATTCAGATAGGTTCATATAAGTAACAATCATACTGGTTAAAAAAACGATATTTACAAGTTGATAATGATGGTCAATTATGGTTTTTCCAACCAGTTTTTCTACAACCGTCTCTTTGTAACGTGATTGAAATAGCAACCAGGCTCCGGAGTCTCTGGAGCGTGCGGTGCCTCCGGTGCTTCCCGTGAGCCCGAAGCCGCGGAAGTCCAAAAAACGCAAGTCCGAAAGGCGACCGTCCGAGTCGACGACGTGGGGAAATTCATGGGGAAATCACGGGAAAATCCGCGAAAAATTGCAATGTAAATTGGAAGAGGTCAATGTACAGAGTAAAGCACATACTCAGGATACATTTGGCGATTCTATAGTAAAACTCAGGGAATTTTGTGGCTGCCAGGTTTTCTTTGCTTACCATCCCCTGATCCTTGAACTGTCGCCAGGGTGACCTTCAGGACTCAGGAGCGATGGGTGCCATTTTAGTAGGGAAAATGATTTTTTCAACCGTGGGACAATGGATATAGTCTGATATCTCATCACGTAGTTCATTAATTCATGATTGGGGACCACTATATTAATGATGATATCAATGGATATAGTCTGGTTTCATGATCTCATCTTCAAATTGGGGAGTGACGGCATGGCTCACAATTATCCACCTACCCAAATTGCATGAGTTCATGCGAAAACAGAACAATTTTGTGTGTTTATTGGTACCTTTTTCAAAACCATAGTCAGATGAGGGTGTTGTTTTCAGACCTGGAAATGAGGATCCCTGGTTGCTTTCAACCGCAACTCTGCACCGCAAAGGACTCAGTGATGGAGTTCCCAACACCATCCGTTTCTTCCCTTCAGGAGCCAGATGGGAACGGCTCATCACTGACCGAAACATAAGTTCAGGCAAATCTCCGGAGGGCCATTGAGCAACTCCTTCACCTGTTGCAGGAGTCATTTCCAGCCATGAGCCCGTTTCAGGATAGAACGATCATTCATCATTTTGATTTATGATCTTTGAATTGATCAAAAGAAATGATCATTTTATTTTGATCAATGATGATCAATGAGTTGATCTCTGAATTTCCATCGCCAGGAAGCACCTGAACCTGCTGAACCTGCTGCACCTGCTGCACCAGCTGCGGCAGCTGCGCCTGCCAAGAAGGTCCAGTGGTGTGACCCGGTGGGAACAGGAGAAACAAATTCAGATGGCCAATTGTTTGCCATTCGGTTTTGTTCCTTTTGTTTCAGGTGTAAGTAGATTTTTTATATTTTTTGTGCCATCTTTTTCTTTTAAAGTGTTTCAATCTGCCCCTTTACCAACAGTCCAGGAATCCGTGGTGCCGAAGGCGCAGTGCTTTTGGCAGTGGAAACATGTGGAAACTGGTCATACTGTGATTCCGACAGTGCCATACTATTGCCATACTGGCCATACTCAATTCCGATGTGATTTTTCCTCTGATTTTTCCTCAATCTTTGCGGAAGCTGTAATCGTTAGGCTTTGAGTAGAGAAATGGAAGTTGGTGACATGCAACTTGCAAGCACAGTGTGTTAACAGTCATATATATATATATACATACATATATAGGCACTTGGAGAGATGCATCTTAGATTTTCATTTCTTTTTTGAATCGACTACTACCCAGTGAGGGTGGCCCAAACAGATTCAAGAATCGGTACCCCAAGCTTGGCTTTTCCTAGCTGAAGGATCTGAAGGAGAAAACAAATCCATTTGACCATATCAGATATGCCGCGACTTGATGGGTAGCCATGGCATCTGTGCCTTTGAGCCATGAGCTTCATCCAATCTTTCTGCTGGACAGCTTCGATATGGAGACGACAACTCCATGTCCCAACAGGTACGATCCAAGGTTTTTGTGGGACATATGGACAGAGACCCGCGCTACCTGGGACGGGACGACAGGTACAAGATCAACACATTCTCAGCCACGTTCTTCTCCATTTTCGTCAACACATTGATGCTCGGCAGGTGACCCATGTTGACCCATGACCCATGACCCCCGGTAGCCTGGAAGTTGGATGGCCAATGGATGGTCAACAATCACCACATTTCAACGTCCCAAAACAGTGGCCTCATGGGCACCTCGGTTGGGTGAATGGCTTTAGTTTTGGCTACACTGTAAATGAAGGAATGGCCGAATCATTACACAGATCAAAGAAATTCACGGTTGTACTCTTGTTACTGTTCTACTCTTCTACTCAGTCTCAAGAATCTAACATAACATGTCATAACATGTTTTTGTTGTATTTTTTGCAGTGTATCTAAGATCACTTGGCCATGGCCATGGCGGCACCAAGGACGTTGGCGTCCTCCTTGCTGCTGCTGGCTGCTGCTCTGCGCACCCGGCGGGGGCGTCGGCTCCTGGCGCCGCGCTTGAAGGAGTTGCGACCGTTGCGACCGTTGCGACCGTTGCGACCGTTGCGACGACCGTTGGGGCCATGGGGTGGCCATGAATTGGCCATAAATTGGGGTCAAATTGATGTTGATCCCCATTTTCAGACATATGATATACCCCAAATGCATCCAAATGCCGAGGGCTGAAACTTTCATGAACACTTCTCCAATTTTTCGTTGGTTAACCGGTTGAACCATCACTTCATTGTGGAGGTCACTGTGACCCACAGCGAGCCTTGGCGCCGCAGGAGGGAGAGATTTTGGATTTCCCGTTTGGATGGATGAAGTGGCTCGGCCTTGGATGGAGGCCTTGGGGTACCCCAAAAGGGATGGCCAGTCGGCCAGTCGGTCTATTAGTGTCATAGTGTCAGAAAATGATGGCCAGCTGGGTGGAATTTGACCCCTTGACCAAGGTCAGCTTTGTCGAAACAACATGTTCTCCTTGATGAAGTAGGACTGTGGGGCAAGGACATGCGTTTGGACATGGAAATAGACCTATTTCAATGTGACTGTCGTCACGAAACTGTTCCAATGCTGAAAGTCCTGAACTTTTACAGGAACAAAGAGGAACATATGACATACTTCGTACAGTTCGTACAGAGGTCATTTGGAGCATTCCGTGCCTGTCAAGGGGAGAGCCTGGCAGATGATTTCTGTGTTGTGGACCTTGGATGTTCTTGGATCAGTAGGAAGCGCATCTGGCCGTCCCATTCAGTTGCGACAGCTTCAGGACTTGATGCCATGGTTGTGATCCGATATTTGGACGTGGGCTTCAAATTCTGCTTGGTGGGCAGTCTATTGAGCATAGTGCCTCGGCAAAGAATCAACCGTTGCAGGTGGCTTGAGGAGACCATCCCGTGGTGTCGCCGCACCCCAGGTTCTAGTGCCTATGTATGCGTCTGCAGACAACAACGAGAATCTGGGCAAGTTCACCAGATTTAGCCTCTCCAACATCGACAAGGAGAAGGGGTGCCACGGCAGAAACAGCAGGAAATTTGGCCATGGCTGTGTTGGTTGATGAATCCAACTTGGGCACGGCAATGCCGGTTCCCACAGATATGAAAAATTGTCCCAAAGAACGCTGTTAGTTTCGATGCCAAGGCATTGGAGGTTCGGGATTGTGGTGGCCTGTTCCTACCTCCTCAATGCCGCTTGGCTGTGCTGAGTTGACTCTCCGTTGCTGGTTCAGCCTGGGCTGATACCTACCACCAGGACTGGGAATGAACGCCACCCTGTAGCAAGCGAGATGGTTTGTGGCGCTCAGGCTGCGTTTGTCCACTTCATGGTGGGGGAATGGCAGAACTTCATGAACTTTCGCAGGAAGCAGTTCAAAAACGCAGTACGGGGCTCCTTGGTGATGCAGTTGAGTCGACACATGAAGCCCCAAATTTGAAGAAATCAACATAAATTAACTATATACGACTTAGTGCGAGTTTGACCAAGAAACCGAAGCAGGGGTGCAGCGAAGGCCCCCTAACATGTAGAAGTACATGAAAGCTAGAAGTTGGCCACAAAGTCTGCACCATGGAGGTTGGATACGTTGGATACCTTGGATCCAAATTTAGGCCTCAGAATTCAGAGGTTGCAGTTGGTGCAGGTTCATTGGGCCCTGGAGCGGCTCAAGCGATCCGATCCATCCTGGTGGAAAACATGCCCAAGGACATGGAAAGTCAGCATGAAAACCTGGGATTTGTCGCCAAAAAAACAGTGAGCTGGGCTAGGTACCTGTAATACTTGCTGGAAACGGCTTAATTAAGACTTCCGTTTGGAATATTGTTGCGCTCTCCAATTATTTTCCGTAGTGGCGCAAAGCAATCCAAGTTAAGTTCAAAGACACAAGAGCCCAAAGTTTTTTTTGCTGCTTGTCATCCGAGAATTAGCACTGCCATCTGCCGAAGGGAAGGCGCTATGGGTGGGCCAATGGGCCCCACAAACCGTCATGAATTTGTAGAGGAGATGCGCTCTGCGCAGCAACTCTTTGAGTACTTCGAAAAACAGTTTGGGGAAGGCGCGTGGGTGTTTGAGAGATGCGAGTTGATACGAACTACTCCAAGAAATCCTTGTCGTGATTCTAGATGCTAGTTTGGACATGCTTGTACTTTTTGTGCTTCTTTTCTTGAGTACATGTGGGAACTGCGCAAATGGGATGGTGTAATGCCGTTGTGACCATTGACTTGCTTGAAAGGTTCCGTCCACTCTGCTGTGCTACAGAGCGTGTCCTTGCTGCAGTTGGCTGGCCATGCTTTGGAAGTGCTTGGGAATGCTGTAGCTGCTGTAGCTTGCGGTTCAGTTGTGAAACCACATTGACTGCTTTTTGTACCCGTGGAGAGTTGATTGTTTTTTGTTGATTCGGTCTTGTTTCTTGCTTCAGACTATTGTCTTCTGACCTTTCTTAGCACTGCAACGAGGACACGCGAGCACTCCATGAAATCGATGCCTTCTGCAAATGCTGCTGTTGTCCCAATTGGGCCTCTTCTGACAGGCGCCGGCATTGTGAAACGGTCAGCGCATCAATCTGCAACGACAGATGACCAGCTCGGCAGGCGCACACAGATGCGGCAGGCAGTGAGAGCGGACGTGGCAACGGGTGCCTTGGTGGGAAAAATACAGGTGGTACGGTGGTACCATTTGGTATACATTTTAGGGATGAGGAGTTTTATTGTGTTTTGTTTGGGTATAACGGTATAACTATAACTTATAGACCAATCTAAATCCAGGGTTCAGGTTTGATTGATAGTTGCAATTGTATACTTGAAATCCTGGTTTATTGCCAATGGGGTTCCCCCAGGTGATGATGGCATCCACTACTCAAATGGTACGCCACAATGATCAACAGCCCAGGAGTGAATTAGAAAAAACAGGATTGTAATCTTTCATCATTTAGCAAAATTTACGGAGGATGCGTGGCTGCGGGGTCTATGGGGTCTATGGGAATGGGTCAATACCGTCAATACCTATGGAACATTATGGAACCATCTGAATTTTTGGGGATGAACATCCAGCCATTAGAATGCTGTCTTGGTGTGTGGTTACCAGGGTCTCGTCATCAGGCTTTGACCCATGATCCGTCTTATTATTTTGATGGTCCCCAAAAAGATGAAAGGAAAAAGCACCATGAAAATTGGGAGGATTCATCGTTCTATCTTTTTGGGACAGTAGTGCAGAGGATTCCCCTCTCAATCGGAACTACTGAGTATTTACTGTATCATGAAATATCACTATTTTGGCACCTCTGCCACCAGAGTTTATTTGTTTCGGGTACGAGGGTTTTTTGTGACCCGGACCAATGGGGATGGCAATAGGGTGAGGTACCAACTGAAGTGAGGAGAGCAATTGAGTACCCAATGGTTTATGCCGTTTATGCAGTGTCAATTGTTCCCAAGACCGCAAACTTTGTTCCATGCCTATTCCACGCCTTGAAAAAGTTAGTCTGAGTTGCACTTCTAGCTCCTACAGTAGTTGTTAGGGTCCAACCCTACCTCGCAGTCGAAATTGTTTTGACGGTGGGCAAGTGTTGCAAGGTTTTCTTGGAAAATATGGCTAGCCAGGCCACCTATTTTTTTTGGGTCCTTTGGGAGTTTCAAGGGGTTCAACATTTTCTGTCATAGCAAATGCAAAGAGCCACCCGACCATCAGCAAAGGAATTGAGCTGAGCTCTATCAGCACTATCAGGAGCTGATCGGCGACGGGAGATGGGTGGTTTTTTCCGTCAGGTTTCTGGGTGACAGGTTGGTCGAGTGCGCCCTACGCTCCAATAGGAGACTGAGTCTCACCGACTTGACCTCTGTAGGAGACCAAGAAGAACGACCTGTGCGGTGGATGAATCTTCGCTGCTTGCTGGAATCAATGTGCCGAAAACTGCCCGCGAGTTTTCACAGACCCATGGCAGCACCAGATGGGGTACGAGCATCAAAGGCAACCACCATGCTTCGATAAGCCTCAGCCATCCATGATTTCCCATCCAACGATGGGATGGTAATCCTATTCAACTCCGATCGGCAAACCCCGTGTTTATCTGGGTGTGGGGCCCATGATGGAAGATGCAGGGGCTGAACACCTCATTTTGACCGGGGCGTCTCTAGATCCTAAGTTTGCACTTGTCTCAACCATTGCTAAAATAAAAGCAGACAAGGGCTAACCTCCGAAAAACTACCCCAGCTTCATGATTAGGGGGCGGTCTCCATTTTTGTTGGTCCGGATATCCCCATTTGCAGAGCCACTGTTCACCAGGAAGGTCAAGGGCTACACTGCCTCCCTGGCGAACACCGTGTCAAAGGCTCTGCCCGCATCGGAACTTGTCCGCTGGCTGCACTAGCTCCGGGACTGGGGAAGTGGAACATCATGGAACATCCTGGAGATTGGAACAGACTTTTTCCAAGTTTTGAGCCCAGGATCTGCAGTGATATTGCAGATATGATGAAGCTGGACTGTTGGCAGACTGTTGGCAGATCATTTAGGTGGCATTTCATGGCCAGCGTGTTAGTTCCGAGGCCATGCATCCAAAGCTGTTACCCGAATTCAAACATATTCAAACCATGCTATCATCCATCATCCATCATCGATCAATATCCATCATCCACTTGTAGTTTTTGATCCTAGCCTAGCTTAGCTGATCCTAGTTGAGAATGTTCCTACTGAGATGTTTCAGGGGTCCTTGGACCGTGAGGTGAAACCTTCCTCCTGTTCCACCGGCTTTGTGACCTTTCAAATGGTGCAAACGCGCACCTCGGCATGTCACCAGGGCAATGGCCATGTGAGCTGTGGTCAATACTCATGGTTAATAACCATTAATAGGGGCTAGTCATCCAATGGTTCATAGGGATTTAAATTAACCATTATAAGGGTCCTTATTATGGATGGGATGACCATCAACCATATAGTGAGTATTGACCATGGCTCATGTGTCGTTTGTGAGAAGCAAGCATGGCTTTAACAATTTTTGACATGGTTTTGCCTCAGGTGGGAATGAGAATGGTGAGAATGCAATGAATATTCCTCGGTTTAAAATGGTTTAAATAGAAATAGAAGCAAACACAGGCAATTCCCATTTTTTCTCCCGCGTAACACAACTTTCCCAATGCTTTCTTACCGCAACGTCGCAGGCGTCATGGCCGAGCAGGTTCTCTTGTCGCACTCCTCGGGCTGGCTCATTCGCCCGGCTCCAGAGTCTCGAGACCTGGAGACTTGGCGATGAACTGACCTGGTTTTCGAGCTTATCCGGCTTATCCCTGGTGGATTTTTGGATTTTGAATATTTTTTGACATTTTTTGACATTTTTTTCTGTAAGCTTGGAGTTTTCTCATGTTTTCTCTATGTTGCAGGTGTGGTCGAATGCATCGACACCTTGGAAGCTCCTCTACCCCAGAAACATCGTCGCACAGGCGAGGGCAGAGCACTTGTGTTGTGCTTTCATATAATTTGCATGTTGATTTTGCTGAATCTGTCGAAGTGCTTTATTGTTTTTTTTACCTAGCCACAATGCTGCTACATTGATTAGTTGCCATGCAGTAAGTACACCAGATGCAATAACCTACTCTGCGACGAGACAAAACACAATTGATATTTGGGAGTAATTCACTACGGACAACTTTTACCGACGTGATCGTGGTAGTTTTGCAATTACCGATTCATCACCTGGGACGTTGTGTAGATTCTGCTGCAAAAAATGGATATCTTTCCTCAGAGCCCATCCATAAACCCAACGAAGCAGTCGGAGAAGTCGGAGCCCAGTGTGATGGATGCTTTCCAGCGGTCCAAATGTAAAGAAGATTGGGGTTGTACTCAATTTAGCTATAGCAGCTATACTGTCCCATTGACCCAAGTGATTGTGTCCATGCTGGCCTCGCTTTCGGCCAGTGTATCTGCATCGTGGGGGTGCTCTTTTGGTCGGTGCCAGTGACTCGACTGAAACCTTTGAGAACAGGTTTTTTTTCTGCCAGGAAAATGTCTTGCTGGCTTCAAGTGTTATTTTTTCCCTCCCTGCACTTAGAAAGGTGCAATGGCGCGAAACACTCCATCAAGGAAAAAATCTACAGGAAAATATAGAGGGTAACTAAAACCCAACAAATCTGGATTAATTTGACCACCTGAAACTTCAAATCCTTCAAACATTATCAGAAAATAACAGGGATTTAATCTATTTTAAGCAAAATTGTCCAAATTTAACCAATTTTTATCCAAATTTAAATTTCCTTGACTTCTGCCCAGCGGAACTGTTTGATTTCCTGCTTTTCCTGTATTGCCACCTAAAATGCGTACGTACCTTTACCCCAGAAGGGACCGTTTTTTACAACAAATTTATCAGGACTTTAAGCAAAAATAAGTATATATCCATTGTTTTTTCCTGGATTTTTTTTCTTTGACTCCAGAACTAGTGGTTTGATTTGTGTTTTAGGGATGTGATATTGCGGTTCGAAAGGCATCAAAGAGAAGTCCCCATTCACCAAGCGAAGCGCTGAAGGTGACCTCGATTCAACTCTGGTCCAATTTGGAATCCATGCAAAGGTTCTTGCCCCGACTGTTCGAATTCAGCCACTTGGCACTCGAATTTGCCACAGAAACGGCTTAAGTTTTGCGCGCAGGAGCGGCAGATGGATCAAGATCAGGCACGTTTCCTGGCTCCTTTCAATTGGACAGTGCCATGTGTATGTCACCTGAGGTAAAACATCATGCAAGCTGTGCAGCACTTTCCTGGTGTGGGGACTCAGAATTCTGATGTCTTGGCATGAGCCAGGGGTTCCCACAATAGGGGTTTGGAGTCAAATTCTTCCGAAATTGGTTGTCTTTTCGACAGGAAACCAATGGTCTGGGGTACTACTTCAGGAAACACCAATGTACTACAACTATAATTGTTGAGAACAGCGACACCATCGTGGATTGGTGGTTGGCAAACTTCTTTGACAGATGCTTTTGCCACATTTTCTTGATCGCATGATGCAGAGCCGTTAGTTATATGTTTTGGCTCAATATCCAATTGGATAGCATGTTTCCACTGTCTTTGGCTGTTAAATTATGGATAGACCTTGCCCAGCGTTTTTGAGTTCCATGAAAACGGCACTTGAAGTGGTATCCCCATGATATCCCTGCGTTTTATCCCTGCATTCCCAGCATCGGACGAGGTAAAGTATGTCCCGGTGGTGGCTCTGATTCTGCTACTGGCTTTGCTGCCCTTGGTCTTTGAAGGGATGGCGAGGAGGCCGAGTCCCACCTTGTCGATTTGAACGATTTGAACGATTTGAACGATTTGAACCATGGCTTGGAAGATGTTGGAAGGTTTAAGAAAGGAAGTGTTCAAACAACTCTGATCGAGATGTCTTGGCATTTTGATCTTGAAGTCTTAAACAAATATTTGAAGTTTAGAGTGCTGTGTCATTCAGGTCACATGTGCTCCGGTGGCGAGAATATCCGAATATCCTTTGTGTTGCAGGTACGAACGCCACAAGGTGAAGTCAGACATTCAAAGAATTGTGCTGTACCGCTGCTTGGCCTCGAAGCTTGCTGAACTCAAAGTTGGCCTCAAATCTTGCCCCATGGTGAGCAAACGTATCAACGGAATGCATCTGAGGCTACATGGGTTATTTGCTTGCCACTCTTTATGCCACTTGGCAAAGATGTTGTGTCTTGAATGCTTTCAGCAGTAAAACTGAGATGAACTGAGTACATAAAGAAGTTGGGAGTGTGGTATCCAAGCTGCATATGTCATCCATACTGCCCGCTGCTCCATTTGAGAATACCACGGCCCCACATCCAAAGGTTCCGAAGCTTTCTGAGGTCGCCGTGGTGTCTGGCTCTGTTTCGGGCACCTTAGTTTCTTGGCAACTTCAGGATTTTGCTGGGATTTTGGCTGGGGATTGCTAGACATTTGCGGTATGACCCAGAATAGGGTATGAATGGACCCACAGATTTTTGTGACTTTAAGAACCGATATCTGTACTATTTTCTTTTGGAAGTTTGAGCCATGTCCACTGGTCCTCTTTATTTTCCACAGGTTGATTTGTTATCAACCCATTTTGGTGCTGACATCATGGACAGCTCTCCATGATAACTGCAACCTGGCAACATCTCAAACCAACTTAGCATCTTCATTTCTCCTCAGCTTGCTTGGTCCAATTCCTATCTATGCTGTATATAATTGTATAATATTGTATGTAATCAGCACATTTTGCTTGAGAAGATCCTTTAGTTGGCTGATCCAACTCATTCCAACTTTCAATAGTCACATTGTCACATAGTCACTATATCCTATAGTTATATAACTATAACATAACTATAGTTATATAGTGGTCCTGGTCTTTCTCCCTGGTTTTTCCAACCTCCACGTTTTGGGTACCCGAGGAGACGATCCTGCGCACCCCGCCCCAAGCCTTGGTGGAAGTGCGAGAGGCGGTGCCCAGCGTGGCGGACGCTCGAACGTTGGGGAAACCATGGGGCTGTTTGGAAACTGATTGGAAACTGATTGGAAACTGATCTACAAATGGTGGGTTTTCATGGGTTTTCCATGGGTTTTCCACATCTTTTGGTATGTTGACAGAATTGACAGGTAAGCAACTGAACTATAGTGAAATGAAATGATGTGAAATCGGGATTCGAATTTGGAGAAAATTGTGTACCCAACTGGGCATTTAAATAGATGAACTGGGGGCTTAGCTGACCGAACTGGGCGTGTGACCAACTCAAGTGAGTTTCGGGATTTGCCGAAGCAAACTGTGGATGAACTCTGCCTGAACTGACCAAATTAGAAGTTGGGAAACCGGGGATCTAAGTCACTGAAGTGACTGAAGTGAAGATTTGTTTCAGCCAACCGGGCATTCAATCAAAGTGAAGTTTAAAAGACCAAACCGGGAATTGATCGTGGAAATTTAAATTGAACAGTCAACCAAACAGAAAGGGCATTGAGCCAAACAAAATGGTGAGATGACCAGAAGCCTTGGTGTTTTTTTGTGTCCAATGACTTGGGACACTCAGAGCACACGCCTTGGGGATCGCGCTGAGGTCTACTTCATCACCTTTGTTTTGGCGCGGGTGGGCATCACCATTCCCATCCTGCTGTTTTATCCTGGGTTGCCCCTTGACGATAGCTGCGATAGCTTGATGGGTTGGCTGGTCGGCTCCAGCTATCAGGATGGTTCCCATGGCTGGTTTGGTGATGCCATGTGATGCCTTGACCTGGCTGACCTTTGACCTGCTCAGGTTCCCAGGGTCCAGTTGCTACTTTGCCACGGAGGCCTCCGATGCGGCCTTGATTCTGGTGCTGGGAGTCACGTGTCTTGGCCTCACAGCAGCTACCACAGCTACGGACCTTGGACTTCCGGCTCCAAGGTGAAACTGTGCAAACCGTTCTGTCAGTTCTCTGAATCAGTTCAGTTCTCCACTTTTGGAGCGGGGTGGCACATAGTCCCTGTTGGCGCTTGGCAGCGTTACATTTGGCCCGTGTGGTCAGGTACTCGGCCATTGCACCGCTGATTCTGCCAGCCTGTGCTGCCTACTTTGCGCTGGCATCGGTGGTGTATCGACGCTCGTGGCAAAATCTTGAAGCAAAGTGTTCCATTGCGATTTGCCCCGATGAGTCGCCTTCCCAATCGAAGTCCCTTGCTATTCTTGCTGCACTTGAAATCCAGTGTTTACAGTTCTGTTTGATCTGAGGATGGCTGTTCCTCTACGCGGCTTGGTCAGCGATCAGATTGTAAATATATCACACACACATAATATATGTATATAATACGTGTGTATATATATACATACACGTGTACATATGTGTGCATATACGCTAACAAACATATATTGTATATGGCTGTGAACGAAATTCTCATGTCCGGATCAAGCTCCGTGCAGATCATCCGTGTTCCGTTCCGCAATTTGGACGGCCACAGCAGATAAAAAGATCAGGTCTATGAGCAGGAGTTTGACACTTCGGGCAGCTTTTGGTCCCTTGACCAGACTGGGACGACTGGGAATGCACAAAGGGAGATTGAAAGAGTTGGATTCTCATTCACTATGGTAAACCATTGGACAGTTGTGTAAACCTACTGGATCTGTATTTTTTCATTGGATTTGCTTTCGCAATCATACTTTCCACTGAGGGATTGTCATCCACGCCGTTGTCAAGAAATCAAGAAATCGAGCTTTACTCGCAAAAGAAAACATTTATCCATATAAAGCCAACAACGAAGATCGTAAAGCCACATCATTCAGGAGATTTGTGCTGTCCAATTCCACCCAATTCCGCCTTGTGACAACAAACAAGCATGGGAAATTGCTGGGAAAATGAATGGAAACGAGTTGGATCCTCCAGGTGCCAGTTCTATTGCAACATATTGCAACTGCATGCAGTTTGATGGCAAATCTGAAGTTCGGTCCTGATCCTTATTAGTTGATTGACGACGAAAGGCTTTTGAAGGTATAGGCAATCGTTCTCCTGCATCATTTCTACAATCCTTCATAGTTGAGATCAAATTGCAAATGGTTTGTTGCAAACGTAGCTAAAGTGAGTTGGTCACATTCGCTATGGAAGCTGAAAGAACAATATGCAAACCTTTGAGGATAAATAAGATGCTGCAACTGCGACTGAACGTGGCGTTGCCAAGTGGCCGGTGTGCAGCTCTATCACTTGGACCAACAAGGACCGTTTTGGATTTGAAAAAGGCGCAGCAGTCTTCAGGGCAACGTTTTCTCAGGCTGCTCCCAATGGTTGCCTTTTGGATCCAACAAAAACTCTTCATTCGGGGCTTCACTAAGTGGAGATAGCATTGCTGTTGCACAGCCCAAAGTAGCTGTAGATCGTGCGATGGCTTTGTGGTGCGTTGGAGGTGACATGATTGTCACATGGGGCAGTCCGGAAGACGGTGGCGACAGCACCACAGTTAAGGATCAGCTCAGGAATGTTCAGCAGATCCATGCCACGGAGAGGGCTTTTGCTGCCATTTTAGCAGATGGAAGCGTTGTGACATGGGGCAGTCCGGAAGATGGTGGCGACAGCATCAGAGTCAGGGATCAGCTCAGACATGTTCAGCAAATCCATGCCACGCGCTTTGCTTTTGCTGCAGTTTTGGCAGATGGAAGCGTTGTGACATGGGGCCATCCAGGCTATGGTGGTGACAATACCGTAGTCAAGGATCAGCTGAGACGTTTGTAGTGCCCGATTTGATGTGCACAGCGTCAGTTGCATTTCAGGCATTGTCAGTTGTACGTGTGCGTGCAGTGCTTCAAAGGTCGGAAGTGGCATGACAGAAAAAGTACGGTGGCTGGCAGGAGATGGTTTTTAGACATTTGAAGCCGTCAACATCCGTCAACATAGCAATGTTGACCTGGGATTGCTATAGACAAAATACTGATCTCTGTCGACCCCCAAGTCACGACTTCTGAACAGTTCGTGGTCATGGCGTAGCCTTTGGCTACTTAGCGAAGCATTTCCTGCAGGACATGTAAATTTGAACATACTTTTTGATTGGCGGTTTCAAACATTGTTGATTCCCTGTTCACTTCGATGATTGTCCCACCCAACTAAGGTGCTTCAAACGGGTTGAACCCACCAGTTTTGATTACAATTTGTTCTCCTGTTGTCATCCCAAACATGCATTGCTTTGGAACTTGGCCTCGTGGCATGGGTTTGGAGGCATCCATGCAACAAAAATCTTGTCTTAGAATGGGGGATAATGCAGAATTTCATGGTTTATCAATGTTTATCATGATTTTTTTCCCCCAAATCCTCACAGACACATGAGTCTTCCAACATTTTGAGGGGCTGATTGTTACATAAAACCATCGTCTACTTCCACTGGAAATAGCCTCGATGCAGGTATGACCTCTTCAACTGGTCTGTGTGGGGCATGTTCTTCAGCAACATCACTCTGATGGCACTTGCTGTAGGCCGCGAAGAGACACTGGAAAAACCCAACACCCTGAAGAAAGATCAATGCAAGATGAAGAAGAATAATGGAAAAATGACATCGGGACCGGAACATTATTTTGAAGCAGAATAGAAGAGATGTTTTATTTTGCAAACTGGTAAGCAAATGCTGAGCAAAGCACTGGGCACAAAGTGGAGCAAAAATGAATGATGCAGGCACAGGAAATGGTTGTGACGTAGGTTTTGTCATCATGTCCAGTTTCGTTCATTTTCACATCGATGTTTTTTCAGGTCATGCATCCTACAATACTTATAGCCACTTGGACCGCAAGGGCAAACATGGGATGATCCGCAGTTCGAGGAGCTGTGAGTCCATCTGGAGGTCGTTTTTTCTCGTGGTATAGTTCAGTTGTGCCCTTGATGGAAAAAATCATTCACACTACACATCATTTCACAAGTGTGGGTCCATCATCACAGTTCGACAGGCCATTTAGATCACCATCAATGTCATTACCAAAATGATTGGCAACTTATTCAATCACAATAGCCCCAATAGCCCTGGAAGCAACGAGGTTTCTATGCCACAGCCGTGCTGCCTCTGACAACCTTGGTCTTCAAGGTGCAATGGTTTCTCTGAAACTAGGTATCAATTAGCCTCATGATAAATGGTGTATCATAATTGTCCCTGTTAAAACTGGCATAAATCGAAAGTATACAGTAGAGCCCATTTTCAGACACCCATATCCATTTCACGAATCCAGATGTGATTTTTGCATCTGGCAGGCCTTCTGTGAGCGTCACTATGCGCGACCTTCACTGTTCGTTGCCCTAGAAGATGCCGTCGAAGCGGACCGAGTGGCAGAGGCGACTCTTCGTTCGGCATGGATCAGAGTTGGAGGTTTTGTTGAAGATGATCATAGATCAAACTAGCTGGTAAATAGTTTTTTCATGATCCCAAAATACTGTACAACAGGTTTTGACCCAGACCCTCTGCACAGATCTTTGATTTTGACGCCTTGGATTTTGCAGGAAGAGGCGGATGTGACCTTGGCTCCTTGTCTGCGTTGGTCACCGTTGGTCACCGTTGGTCGTTTGTTGCACCGTGGCCACTGTGGGATGATCGAGGACTACAACTACTACGTTGACCCGGTGCTTACCAACTACAGCCCCGGTGCGGCTGCCAGTGCTGCCAGTGGTGCCAGTGCTGCCAGTCCAAGCTGCAGTTCCGATCCCAGGAGATGACTCTTCAGTGACAGTGGCAGTTGGAGAGGATACTGGAAGCTAATGGCTGAAATAGGTCACTTTGATCCACTTTTGATCCACTTTTAATCCATTTTGATAGGGTTTTGGTATGGCCGTGTTTTAGAACATAGCGCTTACCATCCAGTGCCCACTGGCCATGATTCACTCTTCATGGAAAGTCATAGCAATTTCCCAGTGCAGGATCCGGAACGACATCTGTGATGGCTTTGGGATATTGTGATATGAGTAGCTAATGACGGCCTTGCAATTGGCAAATGGGTCGCTGAGGGTTGAGCAGCTTTTTTTTGGGAGAAAACGGTTCATTTCTCATATTCTTGTTGCAGCTTTGTGAATTCGCGCAAGATTTCCAACCTGTGATTAGTAACAACGTGCAAGAAGGGCTTGGGAAGTTTCATTTTTTTGCAGCTTGTTGTGCGGATACTTCCACCCAAGCTGACCATCCTCATATTTCTGCCCTCAGCTGCTGAACTTCTCAGATGATCTGGGCGCTTTCGGAAGGAACCTGCCTCAAGAAGTTTTTTTTGCCTTGCCTCTTTGCAAAGCAAAGTGATGGCAATCGGATCATGGATCGGCGACCAAGCCTTCGTTTTTTGGATGCCAAGACCAAAAGGAGCCGCCAGGTGAAGCGAGTTCTCGGACCTGACTCCAAGAGTGAAGGATATTGGAGCGCATGGGATCCCCTTCTTTTGAAGCCAGGGATTCAGGGATGATCAGAATCCCAAAGAGATGGAACCCTCAAAATCACATTAACATCATTAACCATGACATACCATGACTATGACCAAAAATGACCAAATCTTTGGTTTCTTGCATCCTGAGAGCCCGCGGAAACTCACATGACACCAGCACCAAACGCTGCTGAGGTGTTGCTTGTTGCTTTCTATGTCCCCCAACTTTTATACTTGTGATATCTTGTGATCACGTAAACCTATTGCTATGAACAGTGAACAGCAGCTGACTCTCAGCCTGGTCTCAACCGCTGAAATCGATGGGATTTCCTGGATTCCGTATGGCCATAGCGGTGCACGTGCGCCGGCTTCATTCCCCGTCAGGCCGCTATCGAGACGCCAGGCAACGCCACAATCGTTTGGAAACAGGGTGATTTTAGCGGCGATCAAATTTGGAACGGGGAACTTTTATCCAACAAAAATGGATATGACATAGGCTGATACAGGTAATGGATGATAAGTGTATACGTTAAGTGTATCTTAGGCTTCAATGGTCTTCAATACATAGATGACCAGTATTTCTTTGGGACGGATAAATCACCAGCCGTCCAGAATAGACAACCAGGAGCGGCAGAAGCTTCAACAACAACGCCAGCAGCTGCGCCGGCAAGTAAGGCTGCAACATTGTGTTGTCAGAAAGTGTCAGAACATGTCATCATGTGAGCGTAGAAGAAGATATGTGACATTTGAGACACAAGATGATTGAAGATGTTCCATTGCAAAATCTCAAGACTTTCTTTTGCCTTGAATGTCTCGCTGCCTGCAGGGCGGTGGCAAAGGACCGTGAAAAAGATGCTGCCATTGTGGCTGACTCTCAATAGGTGAATGAGGGTGAAACGTCTGCAACCTGCAAAAAATATAGAATGGATTTTTAATGATTTTCACGGCTTTTCACAGTGACACGGGGATAAACGCGTTTGCTTGTTTTGTAGCTGGCGGTTTGTGACTTTTGGCATCTTTTGTCATTTGCAGGACCTGCCAAAGGAGCGAAGGGGTCTGCTGAAGGCGCACAGATGTCAGCATTCCTATGTCAACAATACCCACAGATAGAGTCTGAAACAAGGAGAGCGTAGGATCGTCTACAAACCACGACCTGCGATGAGATGTCACAGGACTGGATAAGTGAATGCCTGTTGAATGTCCTCCAAGGGTGGAACGCCAGACTTTTTCATGCTTCAGAACTTCAGATAGGTCAAATGCAAAACAATCAAAGAAACCTAACATCAGTAGAGATCCTAGCACGTGAAGTGCCAAGCCAAACAAAGGATCACAAACAGCTGTGACTGTGCCAGAATCATCCTGAAGGCTCCCCTGAAGCTGCTTCAACAACAACGCCAGAAGCTGCGCCGGCAAGTAAGGCTGCAACATTGTGTTGTCAGAAAGTGTCAGAACATGTCATCATGTGAGCGTAGAAGAAGATATGTGACATTTGAGACACAAGATGATCGAAAATGAATCCCTTTAAATCTTCGCACCTTAAATTTGATTTGCTCCAACTTCTTTACGTTTTAAAAATAAAGCTTATGGGTTTTGGAATCCATTTGCACAAAATGAACCAAAGATGGGTCGGTTGGTGTCCCCGCATCCCCGCATCCCGGCAGGGCGGCAAAGGGTCTGCCAAAGCTGCCGGAGTCGCAGCGTGCGGCTTGGATCCCAGTGACCTGGATTGTAAACCACACATCAGCCTACTAAACTTGAGATTTGCGGATTGTCAAATTGGAAAGATTTGAAGAGTTTTTAACTATCCATAATCAAGATTAACCAAGTATCTAAGTGTCCATCTATTTCATCTTAGCTGCTGTTGAACTGCCGTCGCCTGGGGTTTCATGGCTGAGATCCAAATCGTGGCGAAACCATCACTGGAGCAAATCTGGAGGTCGCAGTTTGTTGGGTGGAAAGGGCTGATGAACAAAATATGGAACACATGCATAGTCTGTGGTGATTTTGTACCCAGGACTCCCTTTTTCATATCAAGGTTCTATGATGTTCTATGATGTTCTATGATGTTCTATGATGTTCTATGATGACCAAAATGATGTTCTATGATGACCAAAATGATGTTCTATGATGACCAAAATGATGTTCTATGATGACCAAAATGATGTTCTATGATGACCAAAATGATGTTCTATGATGACCAAAATGATGTTCTATGATGACCAAAATGAAGTTCTATGATGACCAAAATGAAGTTCTATGATGACCAAAATGATGTTCTATGATGACCAAAATGATGTTCTATGATGACCAAAATGATGTTCTATGATGACCATGATGTTCTATGATGACCAAAATGTTCTATGATGACCAAAATGATGTTCTATGATGACCAAAATGATGTTCTATGATTACCAAAATGATGTTCTATGATGACCAAAATGATGTTCTATGATGACCAAAAGATGTTCTATGATGACCAAAAGATGTTCTATGATGACCAAAATGAAGTTCTATGATGACCAAAATGAAGTTCTATGATGACCAAAATGATGTTCTATGATGACCAAAATGATGTTCTATGATGACCAAAATGATGTTCTATGATGACCAAAATGATGTTCTATGATGACCAAAATGATGTTCTATGATGACCAAAATGATGTTCTATGATGACCAAAATGATGTTCTATGATGACCAAAATGATGTTCTACTTGTTTTCAAAATGATTGGACCACCTCAGCCGATGTTTGGATCCCAGGAAGAGGTGACCCTGTGGATCCAAGCTGTCTCCGGCGACAGCAGAGGCGCTGCCGCAGTATGGATGGATTTGGGTCTGTTTGAAAATGGGGTGCCCCTATTCCAGAAATGGAGCACCTGCCATAGCTTTCTGGATATCTTGGATCCGATTGGTTCAGAATGGCATTGGTTGAGCCATGGTGAGGTGACGAAACCTTTGGCAAGTGGCTGAAGGATGGACGGGTTCTTTGCAGCGTTGCAAACAAGATCCAACCAGGCCACTGTGCGGCCATGCTGCGACTGCTTTTGAGTTTGTTGGTTTGGAGCCCAATCTTTGTTGAATATGTAGCCATGTATACAGGATTATTGTACACTTCCGAAAGGTTGGAATAATCCAAGTATCTACCGTCATGCTCCCACTTCTTGCTGGCTGCAGGCATTATTCCCAATGTGAACTCTTCCAAGATGCCTTTCAAGCAGATGGTGCGCGCAACAGATCGCCCGAGCAGTTGCTGCATTCGGGGTAGCTGCATGTGGGGAATGTGTCACCAGCTGGATGATGAGAATTCACTGATGAATTAACTGCGAAAACGTGATGATTTGCCAAGATTGACTGGGCTTGGAAATCAACGAGTAGCCATTTTGTCAGTGCTGTGAAATGCTACAAAGGCAGATCCCCTTTTTGCAGTCCCAGGAAGGTGGGTCGAATCTCCAATTTAGTGGGCTGAATCATGTTTGATCCCTGTTTTGGTTGGTTAATCATTGTTTTGGTTGGTTGAATACCTCATTTTGGTTTGTATAACCGCCCGTTTTGTGACCTACTCAGATGAAATCTCCCTTGCGCCCAGCCAGGAGAATGTGACTGCGTTCATCCAGGCATGATATCGCTGAAGACGATTAACTGTGATTTTGGGATGGGGAAATTCTAAGATTATATCCATCCAGCAAACAGTTGACTTTATGACTTTATCTTTTTTTTTTCGCGCCAAGTTGGTCGGTTAATTGGCACTCAATTTTTGACCCACAGCCATACTTTGTGCCGTGGAGTCTGAATGCTCAATAGTGTACGGGAAGATGTTTGACACGGACCCTTGGTTTTGCACCTTAGGATGCCTGACATACTTCATTTGCATGGCTGAACTTTGGTGAATCCCCATGTGGTGAATCGACAGGCCTGCCGGAAGCTGGGTGTGTTGGAGAAAGATGTTTTTTCCACAGTGGACCTCTTTGAGGCTCCGAAATGCAGAAAGTGAGAAGCTTTGGGCACTTTGGGCGTCAAGGTCTTGAGATGAACAGATGAATGCTCCTCATGGCATCGACATATCGACATTGACAGATCCCTGTATGATGCATTGACGTGGCAAGGCCAAGAATCTGGCTTCTGTCCAGAGGCTTCCAATAAGGGCGGTCTTCATGGCTTCATGGATTTTTTTTCGGAGTTTTGATGGAAAACATGGGAGGATTCTGCAGGACTTCCCCCCTTTTGTTGTGGTCATAGTGGTCATTCCACAACTGAGTTGACCCTGCCCTGCAACGGCAACTGCCGGTTTTCAGGTGCATCTTCAACCTGGGTGCAGCAGTGCGGCGGACGGCTCCAGACTTCCAAGGAGCATCGGCGGACGCCGTTGCAACGCAGCAGATTCTGTGGGACAATAGCTATTAGTTGCAGGAACCGGGGAAAAACCAACAAACTGGTGAAACGCTGCTGGAGATCAACCTGCTTGATCTTGGCAGTTTTTTCACCACCAGGCCCCTTCCTGGGAGTGGCGCAAAATGCCAAAGTTGGAGACAAGAAACGCGAGAGCCAGGCCTTGGGAGAACTGGGATCTCGTCCATGAAGTGAATCGTTGGGGCAGTTTTCACCGATGGTGTATGCAAACAGTTCAAAGATGAGGATAATATGAGGATATAGATGACTAACTCAGATGATATAGACCAAGTCTAATTGTGGATAGTGACTTGGGCCCACACCCATGGGTAGGGTCAGGCTGAAATGATCCATATGCCCAGAGTCTGAGGGATGGATGGAAAGTCTATCTAAGAATTTGATTGATTCAAAGATTCGGAGTGTTGCAAAAACACAGGAAAGATTGGCACTTCGCATGTACCTTCCATCCAAGTTCAGCATGAGTGCCGCATTGTCGAGGTGCTAACCCAGTACACTGGCCTGCGGCAGGAGACTGTCACTGTGGAACCTTTGACTCTTCCCAAATTCACGTGATCAACGTTGATCAACATTGATCATCCCAACATTTGTTGAAACATCCATGATGGCTGTTGCTGCTGGTGATATCCGCAGGACATCGCCGATGAGCTGCGCTCTGGGCACAACGTCCGCGTGGCCGGGCAAGGGCCGTAGCGCCGGAGCGCCGTAGCGCCTTAGCGCTGTAGGTGTGTCGTCGAGGTCATCGATTTCTACCGAAAAAGCGCCCGGCGAAATGGGGTGACGAGATATGATAAGAACGACCGTTGAGATTGATGCTTTTTGACTTTGGAAATTTGTGGAAACTTGCGATGATTTCGAGTTGGAGACGATCCATTTTGATCCATTTTGGGGGTCTCAGGTCTTATGGCTTGCTTTTTTTGGTCGGGATTGATTCCTGGCTGTTTTGCCGCTGTGCTTTGGGGGGTTCGTAGGGTGTCACGTGTAGATCTGGGCCTCCAAGTCGGCGAGGTGGGCTCCATTGTGCCACATTGAGCCATGCCCATATTCTGGCTGCTGCAACTTCTTTCTTTTGAGACATCGTCTATATCATCCATTGAACAAAGACTGGTAATCAATTCATATTCCGGATATGATCTCATAGATAGACATCGTATAATTCACATCTACAGCTATAGCTTGCACATATGTAACATATGTAACATATTGTACTATGTGAAATCTATGTGATATCCATACGATATTAATCCCACTAAAAATCCCCACAATGGAATGATCCGAAGGCCATGGCGACGCCGGTGCCGGGGCAGACGGTGGACCTGGGCGTCTATGACCGGTTCCATGCCCGAGCCTTATGGCATGGCGCCAGGTTCCATGAGGAGTTGCTGGGGTATGGCAGGTATGGCAGGTATGGTTAGCAGCTGTTAGTATGAAATTTGAGAACATGTGCATCGTGTTGAAGTTTGCACCATTGACATTTATTTCTTTTGACCCTCAAAAACGGCCCAGGGTGAAGGGTCAAAAACGGTAAAACCATGGTTGCTTGATGGGTTTCAGGCAACTGGAGAATTCATCTCACGCTTCCTGAAGTGACGCTTCTTTTGCGCTACCATTGACCATGATTCACCTCAGGTGCACGCGCAGATGGAACATTTGCAGACCAAGTCAGTCGCCCAGGTCTTGGGATTTTGCCTCAGCCTTTGGCATCACAGCGCTGAGGTACCACGGAACTGGTGGGGCCGACACCTCCAAATGGGAATGGGCCGGTGGCTCAGTGTGGAGTTTCCTGCTCTGGATCCATCATCCCATGATTTGGATTTGGAGGCCACCAATATCCACAGAGATACGATGGCTTCCCATGTTGGCCACTACACCCGACTGGCGTTGGGGACCCCAGACTCGCTGACAATACTGTATGTTTCAATATTGCCGCTTTGCATACCTGCGGGTGTACATGAGTCATCTACCCATGAGTTACCTATCTACCTATCTATATTATATGCATGCGCAGACAGAGACAGAGGCAGACACTGAGTCAGAGCATTGACACATGCAGTGATACACACACACACAAGCACGATCAAGCACGTACATAACTGGACGTAGACAAGGCGAAGGGAAGATTCGATGGGACGTGACACAAACCTAAACCGATGGCCTTTCCCATAGTCGCCTTGTGGTCGCCTTGTGGTCGCCTTGTGGTCGCCATGGTGTTGACGCAGGTACTTCGCGCTCTGCGAGAACGAGCCAGTGGCGCGAGTTCGGTTCAATTGCTTGCAGGCGTTAAAGTGACGTGAGAACTGCGCAGATTGCGTGAACATGATTTTCCGGCGTTGGACATGGCATTTTTTTTGGGGGTTCAGAAGTTTCCAGGCTAAAATCAGTGGAATCAATTAAGATCAACCCGTACCGTGCTCCACTGGTGTCAGGCAATGATTCAGCCATGTGGGAAACCTCCTCTGAAAGACGACATGGAGGACAGCTCGGGGCAGCAAGGCCAAAAGGCAAGACGATATCAGCATATTTCGAAAGTCAGTGTAGCTTGAACATGTTTGAATCTTTGAATTCAGTTCTAATCTGTTTAAGATTGTTTCTCTTTATTTTGAAGGTGCCTCTTTTGGAAGTTCCATTAGTTGTCGACTTTCTTTAAAATTTGTGTGAAGATTTGCTCATGACTTCACAGGACTAGCTGAAGTCAGAATCGGGTCTTAGGTGTCACCGGTGTGTTTCGCGTGTGCTTGCGCAGTTGCAGCGGGCACTGCTGTGGTTAGCAACCAGAAATGTGACATATATGTGGCGGGAAGCAACCGCATTGTGTTGGAAGTTTTGGAGGAAAATCTGCTGCGGGGTCGATGTGAGCTCTTGGAGAGATTTGCTTAGATGCATGAGACATCACATTGGATGTTGTGGGTCTTCGACACCAAAGAAGCACACCAGGCATGACCACAATCACACAAGGAGGCCTTGGCATTGAGATTGGCTCACTATGAGCGGCATGCAAGCTGGCATAGTCTTTGTAGAAGCGTCAAGAAGCATTTTTCAAGACATTTTGAACACTTTAACCAATATGTTGATATTGTTCAAAAATCAATCGGCACAATCGGCTATTTTTTTGGAAGCCACGGAACTTTGACTTCACTGATGCGGACTTTGTCGGATTTGCGGTTAGTGCTTGGCTCAAGGCCACAGTTTTTGTGCATGTGAACCACGATCAGCCAGATGATACAGTCATTACCTGTAGCTATAGATATTGGTGATATTGGCATGGCATGGCAACCAATGGATCCCATGCACCATCCAGGATGCGTCATGGAGACCACACCAGATCAACGCTTTCCATCTTGGATTCAGCATTGCTCAGCCGATGGGATGTTCTTGCAGCTTCTGCTGCTGCTGTTCTTGAGCATCAAGGTGGCATGGGGATGTTTTTTCTTCAGAATTTGGAGGAATCATCCATTCCCCCACTATTTTGATGTGGAAACAAAAGTGCCAGGCTTTCGTGACTAGCATAAAAGATATAAAAACCGAAACTGAACTTGACCTAGGCCTGCAAAATGTCTTCACTGGTTGACAAGTTGACTGTTTGAAATGAGACAGTGGTTCTGAAGAGTGAAGCCGATATTTCAACAGCCTGACCGCATCTCAAAAGAAGAGCCCCCCTGACCTCAACAGCCTCAACAGTCCGCTGTCCAAGTACCACCAATGAGACGATTAGACAATGGGACATGACCCCCCCAAAAAAACACAGGAGATCCACTCCACTGTGGCAGTGATGGTTATCCATCTACAAACAACTATATATATATTAGATATATATATATAAATCATGATAAATCGCCAAATCAGTACCTGGATAATATATTATATATGGTATATATGATTTATATATGGTATATAAACATATTAAACATGTATAAAATAATCAAATACCAGGAGAAGTCGCTGTCCAAATAGATCATGGGCTTTCCAGGATGCCAGTGGCTTTCCATTGGAGCTCTCGGAGTCGGAGCTGAAAGAGGAACAATTGGTGAGGATATCAGCTATCAATATCTATCAATAGGATATCTATGGATATCATTTATGAAAATCTTATGAAGAGGTGGGGTTGTTACCATGCTGAATGCTGAATGGCTTAGCAATTGTTATTAACAACCCTAATCGTTGCATTTATTGATGATTGAGACCTTTTTTTTGAGAATTAGCTGGGGTCATCAGTAGTCCCTTCCTCCTTCCTCCTGATGTTGCAGCATCGGATGAAAGGAGCATTGCAAGAAGACCCTTTATTTACAGGGGAAAACTTTGGTTTCCTGAAGAATTCCTTTTAAATCAATCAATTTTCCAGGAAATTCTTGAACTATCTATAATTATAATGATAATCAATGAATAGTTGCTGCTATCATCTTTGGATTGATGATCTATACTTTAATCTATATTTGTTGCTATATCCGCTTTAAAGAATCCAATGAGAATCAATACCCTAAGCCTTAGGTAAACATACACAAAATGTGGAAAACCCATGGTTTCCTTAGGAAATCAATCTAGAACTAGTGGATTTTCCACATCTTTTTGTATGTTTACCACAGGTAACTTTCGTTTCAGACGCCAACAGGACACCTTGGTGGACACCTTGGTGGATCGAGGAGATGTTGGAGATGACAGTGGGGCGGATGCACGCCTGTTATCAGGTGCCAGATCAATGGCGATTCATGGGATGTCTTCCATTGCCATTGGGATGATTCATGGTTTAATGATGATTGAATTTAAAATGATATTGATTTAATGATGATTCATGGGATGATCCATTGATTTAATGGGATGTATTGATATTAAATGATATTAACCATTGATTCAATGATGGTTTTTATGGGATGTATGATTAAACGTCCCATTAATTCCCATTACACATCCTGCAGCGTAGATCCCCTCTGAGGACGAAACACATAAACTGAGTTAAACATAGCCTGCGTTCAACGAGGACTTCCTGGGGAATCCCCTTTGTGGCCAAATTTACGTCCAACATGTCAACTTTTTTTGCTGGTAGCTCGGTAAGTTATGGGGTGGGATATATGTAATTAAATAAATATATATATATACACATATAATCACATATTATATATATATAGATACATATATATGTAACAATTTTCATGTGGTGTTGTGATTAAGATTCCATGTTCCCCCATTATATCACCAGTTGGTGATTTACCACAAAAAAATGGAATCTAATGGAATATTACTGGGGGTTTCTCATGGAACGAACCAACTCCTCTCTAAAAGGAGGTGTGCCCCAATGTATGGGAACCGTTTGATGCACGTCGAATGAGAAAAAGATGACCCATGAGGCTTTGGGAACAGGGAAATTGCCGAGAAAGGTGGGGATCACCATCCTCACGAATAGGAGGCAACTCAAATGGGGATTCTACCCCCACAACATATCTGAATAAACCCACTCTCCACAGCGTTTAAAACCATCACCATCGGATGGCGCCCCAATTTTGACCAGGCGTGACCAACACCACCACCAGCTCATCCACCAGCAGTACCACCTTCACCATCAGCTTGACATCCACCTGGACCAGCACAGCAACCAGTTCCAGTAGCACCAGTAGTACTGCAACCAGCAGTACGGCAACAACAGCAACGACCACATCGTCCACTGCGTGGGGAACTCAGTTTAGATATCAACTGGATCAAGAGAGAGAGAGAGAGAGAGTCATGAATTTCGAAGTGTCAAGTCGCAAAAATGGCTCAAAATTTACGAGAGAGTTTGGCTGTTTTTGGAATCAACCGTCCCGTTTTTGGAGTACCAACCTTGAACCCAAATTCATGCCTGTAATTCCATCAACAGAAATTTGCTAGTCTTGCTGCTGCGGTAGGGGCTGACATGACCCCAAGAACGAAGGTGATACTGTGTCCACTGCGCAACTCATACTCCACAGCTATGACTCAGCTACGGTAGTTCTGGTGATGATCAGAAATTGCACTGTACATACTCTACAGTATATAAATCTCTTGAGAGAGCAATTTCATCCAATTTCAATCCTCATGACTCTTAAGTGATATGAGTGATATCCCTAAGGTTTCTTTTGTTTCAGGTATCCATAGGCAGTTTTCAGTATCCCAGGGGTCCCAGGGGTCCCTGGGGTCCCAGGACAGAGACCACGAAGACCAGCTCCAGTTCCACCGCGACAGTGACCAGCATCACCAGCAGCACCACCGGGAGCAACACCACGACGCAGACCACGCAGACCACCAGCAGCTCCACGGGAAGTTCCACGACTTCCAGTAGCAGCAGCAGCCTGACCACCACCAGCATCAGTACCACCAATACCACCACATCAATGACGGTGACTTGGAGGGGATGGAGATGATGAATGATGAATGATGAATGATGATGTTTTTGGATGTTTTTGGTGTGGTGAGAAAGGATAGAAAGGAAGATAGAAGAGGGTGATGCCAAAAATGCTGTCATTTCATGTGAAACGAAGTGACATGCGATGACGGCCGAAGAACGATGAGAGGACTTGAACAATCCGCGAGACTCCAACACGGCGATCACCCTGCAATACTTGGCTATTCAACGCCGGAAACGTTTCAAGAGTAGGACTTGTTCTGTTTGCCAGGCTTCACCTGAAAAAAACGCGCACGGTCAACGTCGTGGAGTTCAATACCGTTCAATGCATCGGGATAATTAGACATACCCTCTGGTAAATAAACATAGACCCTGAAAATCACCAATGATTAATGGTTTCACTAGTCTTCCAACCCGATGACTGCCAGGGTCTATGTTAACTTACCAGAGGGTATCAACAGAAACACAAACTCAGCCCAGCTTATGGGTGCCATCTCAAAGTGCTGCAGAAGTTTCGCATCCGAGGTGACCCAGTGACTGGGCAAAACCGTTGCAGTGGATGTTGATGAACGTTGGGGGGATGGTTTGATTGTTAAGCTTGGATTCCTATACAGAGATATAGGCCATTATGATATATATATATATATTATTATAGATAGTAACTATTCCAAAACATTTGGGATCTGAAATTTCAACGGGTCTGGGGGCCGGCTGTTGCGATCTGAGGACCACCACCTACACCGGAGTTTGGTATGAAATCCTTGGGACGGCCTACGTGGGATTCATCACTGGCAACGCGCAACATGGATCAACATGGTGCATGTTTAGTGCTGCGCCAGATGGCCATGTTTCTCCGGTGAAATATGTGAAATCGGGTCATGGCTTGTCTCAAACGGCAATGTCAAGTGGCAAAAATGATGACATCCACATTGGGATTTTGGGGTTGCGCCAAGGTACACCATTGTCGACGTCTCAGAGCTGAAGTCGGTTGGCAAAGCATCCCAGATTAGCTATGGGCCATACGGCTTCAGCATCGTTGATCTCTTACCACGCCTGCAATGGACCCAGTATATCCATTATGTCTCATTATTCATTATACAAAGAGCCAAGGACCGTTAACATCTTGACCCAGCCCAGACCCCCAAACAAATTGATAGACTTCGTCCATCTTTGTCCCTGGATCATCCAGATCTCCGAATTCTGAACTTCCTTGGAATTCCCTCCTGAGATTCCAGCGACACAGCCACTGAGGAAGCGGATACGGAGGCCATGAGAGGTGCTGCGGATGCCATGGGGGCACTGACCAGCATCATCCACACCTCAGCGGAGCTGCGAATTCCGGAGGCGCATCGATGAGCGTCGATGAGCGTCGAGTGTGGCTATGTGTTGCGAGTCTCACAGTCTCAAAGAATCTCATAGGTTTTTTAGTGTTGATGTTTCACGGTTGATGTATGTTGATGATAGAATTGATCATGTGGTAACCCC